CGCGTCGTATACCTGGAACCATTTTAAGGTAAACTTAGAGGGATTGAAATCTTTCGTATGCCTAGGGTTTAAGCTAGTATCAATATATTTTTGACAATGTGTGTACCAAACGACTTGTTGTGATTTAATAAAAATTAAATTTGAATATCATATTTGAAAACATATATTTTTAAAATGAAGAAAAAACATTTTAGGATTTAATTTCAGCATGCGCATATTCAATTATCAAACAATCGTTTTTAAAAACGATTTGAAAATGTTCGTGTCAAAAACAAAAACATGGATTTTGGAAATTGAATTGAAAATTTTCGTTCTCAAAATTTAAATAAATATTGTAGGTGCAAAACCTGGGTCAAAACGTTTTTAAAAGTAAAACGTTCCATACAAATTTGAAAACGAAAATTCCTCTGTGTACATATCGAGCCCTAACCGCCAAAAGGGCGTAAGCGATAAAAAGTAAATATTTGGTTTTTTTCTTGTTAACACTTCAAATACTGTAATAAGAAAGAAGAAAACGCAAACGTCAAAGCTGTTAAGCTGTGCTTTTTGTGCTCTGTTTGAATTTTGTGTTTTATAAAGCTGTTTACGCTTAATAAAGTAAAAAATTAAAAAAAAGTGTGATTAAACGTCTGGTGCACAATTTTAAGATAAGTAAAATATCAAAATGTCCTGTAAATTTGATTAATTTAACTTGATATTCTTAATTGCATCTGCCGAGTGTTTTGTTTCATATAATATATTGTTGTTGTACAATTGTTTTTGTTTGTGCACTTTGATTTTGCTCTTTTTGTTTTTTTGTCATTTCTGCTGTTTCATCTTTGTCACAGCTGTTTGCGTTGTGTTTGTTAGGTGTCAAATATACAGTGTATTTAAAACTGTTTGCTACATAGCTTTCAAACAGATATTTACCAGCTGATTGGTTCTCTGATTGATACATCGTTTTCACAACTGTTTTGCTTTTTAGCTTCTAAATAAATATCATTTTAAACATGTCGTGTATTTACACCAATTGCCACGTTAAAAGCGACTCCTATGTGTCATGCTGGCTCTGCGATGGGATTGCCCATATAAAATGTGCTGGTTTGAGCGGTAGAGTGTTAGACGCTATTAATGAGGGAAAGGGTCTTCGTTGGTCTTGTCAAAAATGTAGATCAACCGAAGTTGATTTATTTAAATTCTTTAGGCAGTCCAGATATGGATTTTCTGAAATAGGGAAGGATCTGTCGGTTCTTCTTGAGAAATTTAAGCATTACGAACAAATGCTTAAGTCTTGTCTCGACAACCCACCACACTCTGAGGATAGCCGAGAAAATAAACGTAGGCGTGTTATTAGCCCACTTAAAAAGCTAGTCACTGAATCTAGTCAGAAAAATCCTATCCCAGTCCTCGGAACTTATTAATCTTTCTTCTCAATGCCCTCAGGCATTGGAACCTCCGCTATCTAAAGCCATATCAACTAGGTCTACATCTAAAAATAATAACGTCAATCAAACCGTTGATTTAACAGTGTTGCCATCAACATCTGAAGCTGCACTGTCTAACTTAGTTCCTCCGAATAATTCGGAGCCCCGCACATCAGACATCATTACCAAAAAGTTGGTTGCAATTCCTCCGAGAAGATCAATCTTTGTCTCTAGATTTGCTAAAGATACTTCTTCGGATGATATAAAGTCATACATGTCGACTAAAATTAGAACTAAAGATGTATTTAATCGTAAATTTAATTTTAAATACGATCGCGATATTTCACCTTTTAAAATTGATGTAGCTTCCGAAGATTTTGATTCACTACTAATTAGTTCTTTTTGGCCGACCGGGGCGTTTGTTCACGAGTTTGAGTATAAACCTAATCAAAGTAATAACAACGTGGCTAAAATTTCTA